TGTTTGATTAAAATGATGTAAACTATTTTTTTAAATATGTTTAGTGAATGTCATGTTTATGCTTTATATGCGTCAGTCAAAATAGTACATTTTTATCATGCTATTTTATTTACATGTGTGTGTGTGTATGTGTGTATGTGTGTGTGTGTAAATCTATAACGTCACTCTGAGAGTTGTATAGTTATACAAGAAATATAACGAAAGACTGAAAAGGAACTATGAGCCTTAACTAATATATAGAAATATTATGTGATATTTGGAGGGATTTTTACAGTTTCCCTTACGCGCCTTTCGACTATTTTAGAATAACATAGATAGTTATGCATAATATCTTTGGTATTTATAGAGTAGATTGCATAATATATATGATACAATTCTGTGAATATCAAAAGTTTTTGAATGTTTAGTTTTAGCATATGTTGAAAATATTTTATTGTTATAAATTATCAATATAAATAATTTACACGATATGTACATCTATTTTAATAATATTTTAACATTTTAAGATAATTTATTTTGTTTCTGTTTTCTGTTTCTTGCTACTTTAATTAATAGAAATTTATAGTACAAAATTTAGACATAATACATTTATATGATAATTGTGTTCAATTTTAATTTCTATGTTATTCTAAGATATAACTGCGATTAAATCACGATTCTAATTGTTAATGGTTATTTAATTTATTAATTTTTGTCATAGGTAAATACAGATGGGAATTTATTAACAAAATCTTGACAATAATATATAATTCAATATTGCAACTTATTGTTAATAACATAACTCGTAGATTTATTTTTAATTTATTAATATTTTTTACATTATTAATCGTATTTGTAATCATAATTATTTAAAATCAACATTATTGATTTGGTATCTTTCTTTTTACCAAAAAAAATATTTATAATTTTATTTTACGCAATGATTCCTTTATACATCAAAAGAAACTATACACTATTTTATATAAAATTTTGTATGTTATATTTATCATTGGAATGTTTAACCATCTGTAATTTGCCGTGCGAGAGAGAAATATATCATACTGTATGAATGTACCTTTATATGTCTAAGTATGTTTGTACTCATACCTTCTTACAAAGGAAAAAGAAGCAAGATTACTTCCTACCTAGATGTACCATGATGATATCAATCACGAAATGAGATCAGTGAGGCGTATTTCCTACGTCATTTTAGAATTAATTGAATCTTTTATTTCAGAAAATACAGAATAAAATATTTTTTCAGCTACTTGTCGATTATTTTTTCTTATACCAAAAACACCTCAAGCCCCGTGTAACATTTATTTTTTTATCTTGCTGTTAATCGATGTGACATTGAGTGCGATACTGCGCTTTATGAATATGTATAAGAAAAAGTTCTTTCCGAGTTAGTCACGCAAAATAGTAGAAGTTAAGGAGCATAAAGTAGAGAAAATACTTGAAACAAACAATAAGAGTAGTTTCGTGACAATTGATTATACAATTATATTGTTCAGATTTCGACTTCAAATTATCGTAAGTCTAATCATACAAAGAAATAAAATATGTTATTTAATTTAATGACATTGTATGTATTATTTCATTATTTTAATAACAATAACGGTATACAAATTTTACAATTAGAGATTTTTTTTTTATAATAAAAGACTTCATATTATACGTAATTATCCTGATTATTCGAATAACGTTTTCCAAATTTTTTTATGGATATTGGAAGATAAGAAATAAAGTGATCTCTCGATCATTCGATGGTTTAAGAATTGTACAAAAACAAACAAATTGTACAAAATATGTGACTTAATGGACGCAATATTAAAAAAAAGCTTTTTTCTAGTTGTGTTCTTACGCCTCCCTTTCACTTGCCCACCAAGACGCAAAGTGGGATGGGTGGACGTGTTCAAGTAATAGTTTTAGGACACCCGGTATGTAGGCGTTACACCCTTGTAGCTGCAGCCAGAAACGGCGCGGACGAGCGAAGGGGTTGCAGGCGGTACGAGCGCAGACGCAAGCCGCTCAGCGAACATATCGAGGCTTTCATGAGACTGACCTGGCAATCAATGGCATGGCAGAACGCTTGAGAGACCGAGCTCTCTTTGGCCAGAGTCGGTATAGTGCACGCCGAGTCCGTCGTTTCTCACCCTCCCTCGTCGGAGGGTGTTGCGACGACCTCGAGAATCGCGCGTGTCTCATAATAATAAACGGCTCATGAGGTGCGCGGCGCATTTCTTGGCGGCGACGAATCGCGCCGCTTCGGGTTAATTAATTACGTCGCAGACAGGATTTGTTGTTAAATAACGTCGCTCGAAATCGCCGAGCGAAATCAGGGTGGGATCTCGTTTCCGCTCGATCGGCGCGCGAGTCCGCGATCACGCGGCGCGATGTCATCGTTGTGACATCGGCCTCGTGACAATACAAATACGATACATACTTGTCATATACTATAAGCTCGAGAGATCACCGGGTGGTATCATGAACCATGGATACGTCGCGACTCGAAAACGAC